CGACCCCCCCCCCCCCACCCCCCCCCCCCCCCCCCCCCCCCCCCCCCCCCCCCACCCCCCCCCCCCCCCCCCCCCCCCCCCCCCCCCCCCCACCCCCCCCACCCCCCCCCCCACCCCCCCCCCCCCCCCCCCCCCCCCCCCCCCCCCCCCCACCCCCCCCCCACCCCCCCCCCCCCCCCCCCCCCCCCCATCGAAAGTTAATCGACTCCTCAATCTACTGTTAAGACTTCCGTGCTTTACTATTATCAAGAAGGAAGTTTCACTAGTAATGTATTAGATCTTCTTATGCGGATCGAGAAATATGCGCAGGCTATAGGCAACTGAAGTCATGATAACGAATATCACGGTGAAAAAGCTTTTAGACAACCATATGATGATCGGGGCAACTTAGGGGAGTCGCCATTTCCGAGAAAAACGAGAGTTTGGCAGATACGAAAAAAATGTCTCGGAGAAATATTTTCTGAACTGAAAAGTTCAGTTCATATACTTTAGATATGGCCAAAACTTTTATCCAGCTAACAAAACATTCCATCGAGTCTCGAAAGAACTTTATCAGCAAATGAGACATTGGAAGAATGTAGAAAAATCTCGGTCTGATCTTCAAAAAAAATATTTTCAAGAATTTCAAGGAACCTGAAAGTGATTCGTCCAACTTGTAAACTACATTTTTGGATATCATTGATTGAGCACACGAGAAATGTATGTATGCCATTCTTCATCATGCAATATCTAATCGTCGATTAGAATCAGAATTCGAAAAACTGCTTCCAAAGAATCGAGACTTTCCTCCTATCTGAGCTCAATGAATTTTAGCTCATTGAGTAAAGCAGCTGTATGACAAACTGGACTGATACATTTTGAATACTGCCGTTGAGAGCGTCGGTTATACACGCATACTAGCAGTTAGAATCTCGAGAAAATAGTATAGTTTTTTACAAGATTTCAAAAATATGTTAGCCTAAAGACTTTTCGTCTGAGTGCAAACTCCTAATGATGGACTTGTACAAATAATGCCTCAGTCGGTAAGATAAAGTTTCCATATATAATGTGAGCCGCTAATCCTTGAATAGTATTTAATTTTCTGTCATAGACGATATCATCGGAACAAAAAAAATGAAGTTGATTTTGAGTTGCTGAAAAGTGCCTTTTCGTATCCAGCACACTCGATAACCCAGAAGATTTCTCTATTTTTGGCGAGGGGTATTTCTACAAGTTTAGGAAAAACTTTCAAACTAATTTTATTTTCCGACAGAAATTTTTTTGTGCCATTTTGTTTCAAAAATTTTCCACAACTTTTGGAAGTATCCCTCGTCAAAAATAGAAAAATCTTCTGGATTATCGAATGTGTTCGATATGAAAAGGCACTTTTCAGCAACTCAAAATCAACTTTATTTTTTTTTCCGGTGCACTGTAAAAAATAAAGTGTGCCCGCCAGTGTGCATTCCCCCAAGTATGCATTTCTAGTCCAAAGTGATATGCAAATTGTTACTGTGTAATCTTAATTTTTATCTTACATTTCTCTATGGAAAAAACGGAAAAATATTCTTCTCTTCGATCGTTTTTCTCGTTCTGTCCGTAGAAGCTATATGTGCAATTCCAGTGTGTTACAGGCACACTGAACAAACTATTTTCAGCGTGCAAAAACAGTCCAACGTGATGTGCACATTCAGTGTGCCCCGGACACACTTTATTTTTTACAGTGATGGTATGCAAGTGAAATATAATATAATAAAGGCCGTTCGTGTGTGAAAGAACATCGCCATATGGTAGATTTGAACAATTGAGTGATGAATGTACAATTGATACTACCTAGTATGTAACAGTTGACGTACCTGCGACTTCAGAAAGAATACTCAGCACCACTGGATGAGGGAGTTATTATAAATAATAAAAAATTCTCAAGATTTTCAAATAATAGAGAATGGCTAAGGAAAGTATAGTTTTATACATAACTGACAGTTAGTAACGGTTATTCGCTCCCCAGTCCGACTGTAAAGTTCAGAATGCATTCACGACACTTGCGACTCTTTAGATTTCGGATGACGGTTAAAAAAACTTTCAGCAAAGGTGATAAGAATTTTTTGTCAAATTTTTCTTTTTAATAAAAAATATAGGAAATTTCAGTTATTGAGCGAACAATTTTAGACCTAAACATCAGATTCACGAAGAATAAATCTTTTTCACACATCATAATTGTTCTCCAGTCATCATCAAATCTTACAACCGAAAATAAATGTTTCCAAATATTTTTCGAAAAGATTTGTTTCATTTACTAAGGTGAAATGCTTTGATTAAGATTTTTCTATTCAATACTTGGTGTTTTCTCGAAAATTTCTTAAAATGACGGTTTTAAAGGTCTCCACAGCGGGCATTTCTGGCTTAGACAGGCGGACACTTGATCTTTTTCATCAAAAACACTTCTTTTTGCTCAGAAATGATTCTGTATTACTCACAGAATTACTCTCAAGCAAAAAAAACGTTTTTCTGACCAAAAATCCATGAGCATCAACTCTTTTTTAGAGAAGTTCTTTTGTTTAGAAAAGTTTTGTTTTACACATCATCCGATGTAGTTTTATGCGCCAATTCTTGAGACTAGATAGATTAACAAATGTCAACTATCCAACTAATGAAAAATCTTCATTACACACATCTCTGTTTAGACACCGAAAATCCGTTGCTCAAATTGATTTCGTCAAAGTTGATTACTCCTATAGGAGTAATCAACTTTCAACCGAAATCGGTGAAAATTTCAGCATAGATGCTGAAATTTTCACCGATTTCGATTTGACTATAAGGGTTTTCTGCAGATCCTACTGAAGTCTCTGGGCACCGCATGCCGTATCATTCATAATTTCACACCCAAAACAACTGAAAGATAGGTTGAAACTCTACGTATTTTCTGAAAATCTTAGAAGATCCCCAGGCACGGTATTCCGCACCTATCCGTTGTTTCGCGTAGGGTTCAACTGCGAACTTAGCAGGGATCGCGAAAGTGTTCTAGAGACATTTGGTCAGACCACCAGTCAGATTACAGTCTCGATGATCTCTACTGGGATAGAGCTGCTCCGATTTGATACATTTTTGCAGCAAAACTTGTTTAATATAATTTATTCATCTACTCTTCATGTCGTACTATATAGTAGTCTGTTAAATTTATTTTGCTATTGACTTGTAAGGCTGTATAGTAAGAGATGATATCTGACCATGAATAGTTTTTATGCTGTCTCTTATGACTAGTGAGAAAAAATGTGATCATTATCTCAACCATATAAAATTTTGTTTAAATATTTTTAGAAATTTTACACATCAAACAAGAAGTTTTGATAATATATGCGTTTAACTAACATATTTAATTATCAACAAAAACAACTAAATGAACTGAATATTTTAATTCGTGGTCATGAAAAGAATAAAGCATTATTATTATACGAATTAATTTATAGTGTCATCGTTTTCCTTCCATTTTCTGTTGGCCCTACTCAGTTGCTACTTTCCCTCATTTCTTATGTTAACGAGAAACTGGCGTCACCTACGATCATCGTCGATAAACGAATGTTTTAAGGGTTCGATTTCAGAACAATTAGAAAATAAACTTGCCAGGATGACTGTCAAAATTCCATTGATACCACGAGAAGCATCCAGTTATAAATTTCAAGATTTGCTTGTATCATGTACAGAAGATGATGAACATTGTGATATCAATCCTGTTTTAGAATTATCGTGGTCAACATTCAACTGTAAATGAAACTTCATTTAACATATTTTTATTGAAATATGATCGTTTACATTCTGACAATGCAACTGAGAGTGAATTATTGATAACTTCATTTATAACATCATCGTTTTCCTCCGATTTTTTTCTAGGCTCTATGTAGTTGCTACTTGTCATTACTTCTTATGTTAAGAAGAAACTGGCGTCATAGTCCTCGTCGTCAATAAACGAAAAAATTATATGATCATATAAAACAAGTATTTCTAAATGATAATGAAAAGAGAAATAGAGCTTATGAAATTTGTTGGTAGAGCAGTTGGAAATAAGTATTTGTAAATCGAATATAGAACTGCTATGAATAACATGACTTTCAGTCTTGAAAATACTTTATTCGAGCTTTCGCCAGCTTTCAGTTGGCA